CAACAGAGGCTGCATAGGGGTGCAGCTGACTTGAGCAAGGGGGAGATGCTCTTGGATTGCTACACCGACGCCAGCTTCAACTCTGTGAAGGCGGATGGCACCAGCATTGGAGGCTATGTGTGCCTGGTTGGAGGTGGTGCAGTGAGCTGGCGCAGCAAGAAGCAGAACGAGGTGGGGTTGTCCTCGTGTGAGACGGGGTACATGGCCCTTCATCATGGGGTAAAGGAGGTGGTGTGGCTGAGGCGCTTGTTGGAGGAGATTGGTGTTGCTCAGAAGGAGCCGATTGTGATATTATGTGACAATGAGTCGGCAGTGAAGCTTGCAAAGAATGCTTGCCTTCATGGCCTGACAAAGCACATCAAGCCTAAGTGGCATTGGACGAGGAGGCTCATAGACAAGGAGGTGCGGCTGGAGATTGTGAAGACCCAGCAGCAGGCGGCTGACATTCTCACCAAGCGCCTGGCAGAATCTGAGCATTGGAAGGGCATGAAGCTTGCAGGAATGAGTGTGCATTGAGGGTGCATGCTTGAACCATGGCATGTGGGATGATGGTTGGCAGCCAGAGGGGGAGTTTGTTGAGTGATGCTACCATTCGCATTCACGTCTGTCTGCCTCCCATCATATGTTCGTGCGTTGCATGCGTGGTGTGAGCGTGTGCAAGAATTTGTGTTTTTGTGCGGTTTGGATTTTCTGAGTATGTGTGGATGCTATTTGGCTTGAGCAGATATCTGAAGTGACTCATCTGCTCAAGTGCTTTCCAACGAGCCAAGGATCGCTTCAGTCGGAGCACGAACAAGAAAGTTACGAACGTTCAAAGTTCGTATGCCTTTCATGTTTGGTTGTGGCGACTATAGGAAGTTGTGGGAATGACTTTATACGGGGTACAGACTTTTGGGGGTTGGGAAATTCGTACTCATCACTGTAGATGCTGCCAAGTGGTTGGGTGAAGCCAAACCAGATTGGCAAGTGTGGCCAACTTGGGTGAGGTGGATTGTGGAGGTTGGGAAAGTGACAAATGTCAAAGTTGGGTTGTCTAGAGAGAGGGGAATTGTGTGGCATGGGGTTTCCTTGGTTGGGGACTCCCTTGGGACCTTCCCTCTCGTCCTCCTCATCCCCTCCTACCTGGTTCATTCCTACTCTAACTCTCTTGTGTAGTAATTGTGAACTTGTGTGAGACTATTGTGATTGAGTAAAGATTCAATGGCAGCATACCCCCTAGTGCGCCGAAATTGATGACTCAAGAAATACTTCACCTTAATGTACGATTCAACTTGGGAATTGTAGCCACGGAGTAGAGCTACAACATATCTGAGTTTGGTGAAGTTTTGACTGTGAACTCTTCGTCGACGGCGTTTCTTGTGAGCGCGACTTTTCTGTCCAGAATTCCAAGCCAACGATTTTGAGAATTTTATGCACCTAATCTTCGTAGACTCCGTCCTTAGTCTCTAACAGACCCTCGGCTACAGTAGTCTGCTTCTTGTTGCTTGCTGTAGTTATATATATACATATACTTGTGAACTCTTAAGCTGGGCTTGTGGCCCTTTGTTTGTGCTTAGAATGTGTGGTGACTTTGTGATCCAACCTGAGCTTGCTGTGTTTCTTCCCTTGACTGGACTTGTGACCACACATTTATCATGGTTGTTTTGATGCCCCTCACTTAGCCTATGGGGGTGTGTCAAACTATGTTTGTAGAAATAGATATGCTGCAGTGCCTTGCATGTTAGGGGGTACAAGACATTCGCGACACTTTGCTTGTATCCCCCCCTTGACCCAGTCCCGGTCAGTCCCTCATACCTAAGATAGCTACTAAGGGTACAATCCTATGGAGACAATTGTGTCTCAATCCCCTTTTTCCCGAGTCGCGCCTGTAAAATTGCCAAATGTTGTGTTACAAACGGCAAATGTACCGCAACTTAGGGCGACAGATTGGCTTTGCCAGGCGTGCGCGTTCTATTGGACGCGACCAGTTGGATTGAGCCCACCCGCTTTCCCGCCGGGTAGGGTGCCAAAACATGAGAAAACGAAGCGAATGTCACGGGGGGCTTGCCACAGTAACGGAAGTTGCAAATTGGGCAAGTCGGGGCAGCTTGGACCACCCCACACACAAACTTACGTATACAACTACACTTCCAAGTACAAAACATCAAACATCATAGGCCAGTATTGCACCATTGTCTAACAATCATGGCACAGCCCCACGAGGTGCCAATTCTTATGCGACTCCTTGTCGCATGGGTGACATTCTACTACAGTATCTTCATGAACGTGGTCGCCAAGTCGGTCGGTGGATTGTTGGAGGCCAACGTATTCACCGACGAGGTTGCCTCGGCCTCTAGCTCTCACGGCTCCAACCAAACTGCTGAGCGGAAGAGAAGGTATAGTCTTCACAGGCGGAGATACCACATTCTGCTGGAGGACCTGGAAGGCATGGTAGAGGAGGAATTCAGGGACTTGTTTCGGATAAACCGAACCATCCTCGAATACATTGTCGCCAGGATGGCGCACTACATGCAGCCGTACGTGGAGGGGTACCTCATCACGCACGAGGTAGCATGATCAGAGAGTGTTCATTAATAGCGTGTTACACGAAAGGTTGCACAACGGCGATATAGCGCCATACCAAATAGTGGGAGACGCTGCCTACCCACTCAGGGATTTCTGCCTAACCCCCCTACATGCACCCCGTGAGGGCCTAATGAACGAGTGGGAGCAGTGCTTCAACTACTGCCAAAGCGCTACGCGCATGGGCGTAGAGCGCTGCATCGGCGCCTTCAAAGGCCGGTGGCGTCTATTCGCGGGCCGCAATGTCTGCAAGCTCTGGAGCATTCTTGCGGGGGCGTCTTGTGGCGTCATCCTCCATAACATGTGCGAAACGATGGGAACAGTTAGGCACGTCAACGTCATGGGCCAACTTGCCCCGAAACCAGGATCCATGGTGGACTCATGGCGCGATAGCAGAGTTCAAGTGGGAGCCATGTGAACCGTGCACGCAAGCGAATATGCGGGAAAGGCGCAAGCGGCTGGGCGAGGCTCTTGAGTCGTCCTACCTCACTCGATGTCGCCGCGAACCCACACCTCCTCGGCCGCATCACGCTTAGGGGTGCTGCCGCCGGCCTGCCCGCGATGGATGTCAGAATCCCAACCACTAGACCATTGGGATAAAAGGGCTTGTTTAAGTAGCGGGTCAATGCGCCCATAACCCCCCAGGCAACCGTGCCTGTAACCCTTCCCTAGGATCAATCGGGGATCACCAGTGGACCTCTGACACCCCCCCGCACTGGGATGCCCGAAGTGCATACACCGGGATTCGAACCCGAGACCTTCGCTCTGATACCATGTCAGAATCCCAACCACTAGACCATTGGGATAAAAGGGCTTGTTTAAGTAGCGGGTCAATGCGCCCATAACCCCCCAGGCAACCGTGCCTGTAACCCTTCCCTAGGATCAATCGGGGATCACCAGTGGACCTCTGACAATGGAACCATCCGTCGTCGCCGCCTTCGGCAGCGTGCGATGCGCGCAGGTTGTCCGCGTCCACGGGGGTGTCGTTGCGGGCTGGCGGTTAGGGCACGGGCTGGTGCACGCCTTCGCGAGCAATACGCGCGTCCTGCTCCATCCACGCGCAGACGAGGCCTTTGAGCCTGTTCATCGCGTCCGAGTAGCAGTCTTTGATTGTCTCGCACACCAGCTTGGCGGCGGCCATCGTTGCCGTCTCTGCCACCTGTGGGCGCTTCGATGTCGGCGTACCCTGTGGAGGTGGAGCTGCACACACAATGGCCGAACGCGTGCATTAGAAGGTGCATAGTGTAGTAGATCATGTACCCGGGATTACATGCATAAAGATCTCCGCCCAAAGCATCTCATAAAATGCGCACCAGAGCTGCTGTAAACGCATAAGGAACGCACCAGTGAAAGTCAGAGTAGATGTGCATGGCGCAGATGTGGATGGAACCGCGAAACCGCAAGGCACGTTGACCCGTGCCGCACCACCACCTTCGACAGCGTGAGGGTTGCCCACCGCCTTGGTGTTCTGGAAGAGCTCCATGTACGGGTACCAGTGGGGCTTGGACACCGCCCCCTTGCCCGACGCCTTCTCCACCTTTTAAATAATGCTTGAACATGTTCACGAGATTGCGCCACTGTTTCTGAAGCGCGTTCACGCTGCGCACCCACCCGGGATTCTCCTGCTCGAGGTGGCGGACGAGGCGGGCCCAATACTGGGAGCCCTGTTTCCCGAGGAGGGGCCCGAGCTCGTCCTTCATGAACCAACGTGCAGCCACGAAGACAGTGTTCTCGCGGGGGGGCCACACGCTCCGCTTAACAGGATACGGGTTGCGGTTCTTAGCAGCGGCACGAGGAGGTTCACCGCCCTTCGCGGCAGTCTTGGTGCTGGCTGCGGCAGAAGCACGGCCGCGACGTGGAGCCGGGGCCGCTGGCTGGGCCTCCTCGGGAGCGTCATCGTCGTCGTCGGCGTCCTCATTGTCACAGCATATGCACCTTTTGCATATGCCATAACAGTAGGGTGAGGGTATTGGCAGGGCTCTAGGTTGCTAGCACAGGAAGAATAGCTGGAGATAATAAGATAGAGTAGAAATAGGCTGAAGGTGTAGAATGTGTAGAATGTGTAGAATGTAGCGAGGTGATTGTTTAGAATGGGGTGTAGAAGGGGGGAAACGGGATAAGAGCGGATGGGATAAAAAGGGGGAAAAGACACCGAAGGGCGAAATGTGAAACCGCTCCATCCCAAACCCCGAGCCGCACATTTGGAAATGTGCAGCCTGGGGTTGGGTAAGGGCACTCACGTCCAACCCCTCGATGCTTTTGCGATTGTAATTCTCTCGAACTAGTGAAAGTTGCTATCTTCGCTCTAGCACACTTAGGCATATCACTAAGAGGGAACCTACGGGGTGAGGGACTAAGTCTTTCATTACAATTGCAAAAGGGAGCAGTAATGAGCAGAGTATATATGGATAAATACGAAATGCGTTGGGGTAGAATGTTCAGCTGCCGGGAGGAGGAACGGCCGCGACGCGAGCCATCACGTGAACGAGGGCGGTCATTGGAGCGATCGCTGCGCCGCCCGGCCTTTCGCGCAGATCAAATCCCTCTTGCACGGGACCGTCGAGAAGAAGGATCGACGGGCGTGGGAGCAGGCGACGACGGGCACGGCGGTGGCATGGATAGAGACGCGTGGCTGCGAGAGAGAGCACGCGGACCTGGCGAGGACCGTGGAACCCGCCGCGACGCAAGAGTGTTCCGCTCTCCGGAAGAGCGAGAGCGGCGCCGGGATGAGAGAGGCCGTTGGCGAGGCTTCCGGGAAACTCCCCAGAAACAGGGAACGTCCTCGGGGACGGGGAGGAGACATGGGTGGCGACGACCAAGTGGGGATCCTGCAAGAGAACACGGCACAGGATGTGGCAGCGGAGCAGGGCGCGGAAGAAGATGAGGAGCACCTGGGGCTGCAAGTCGAGGAGGCCGATGAAGGAAATGACGGCGGCGACCAGGCAGCGGGAACGGGTGAGGCTGAACCCACGCGGGCAAACAAGAGCGCTGGCGCGAGCCAGGCGGCAGCCAAAGAATCGAGGGCCGCGCCGCGGGAAGCGCGCGACCGAGACGTCAGCCGTGGGGAAGAGCGGCGCGCGGAGGGCTCACTGCGCTAGGAGCGAGTGACGCCAAATGACGGCGTTCGAGCTGCACTGGCGCAGAGGCTGCCTGGCAAGGGGAAGGCAGAGTGGTCGCGCACGCCAGAGAAGGATCCGCACCATGGAGAATGGCACGTAGGCATCTTCCGCCCGTATGGTAGGCGATAGGAGCAGGACGGCTGGAGCGGCGGCGGCGAGCGTTCGCCAGATTAGCAGCGAGCGCGCAGTGGCAGAAGGAAGGGTGAGTCGCGCTCACATGAGCCGCACGGGCGCCAGGAAGGAAGGCACGGGGAGGAGCGGGGGTCACAGGAGCGCCGCGGTGAGCAGCATAGGGAACGCAGCGGCATGGGGCGCTCGTCGGGCCGGCCGAGGCGGAGAGAAGAGAGGGATAGTAGCGGGTCCCGCTCGCCCGAGTGGCGCCGCCCGTGGAGGGAGAGGTACGGAAAAGAAAGGCACTCGCCAGAGCGCCACCAGCAGCGCAGCAGGAAGGAAGGCACCTGGTCACCGTCACCAGAGAGGCGGCAGCAGCGCGACATCAGGAGGTGGGAAGGGCAGAGGACGCACGACCCGCCCACGCAGCAATGGGGATGGGCGGAAGAGTGGGCAGGGCCGAGGGAAAGGCGCCGCGGGGCGGAAGGGAGCCGCCAAGAGAGCAGAGCTGTGAGGCCAGACCACACGGAGAACGGAGAAACAAGAGAGACAGCAGGAGAAGAGCAGGTGCAGGAGAAGAATAGGGGGTAGGAAGAAGGTTCTCCGACATCATCGGCGTCACCGTCATCCTCGGAGGGGGACATGCCCTTGTCCTCCTCCTCGCCAGAGTCCGCGTCGTCGTCGCAGGCGTCGTCACAATCGGCGTCATCGAAGGCAGCATCGTCCACGACGCGGGATGATGCAACCCGGTCAGCATCACAGCGTCCGCGGGTTGGGACATTACACGGGGCTTCGTAAGAAGTATCCCCCGTACCAGGCGCTCCTTCGGGCAAGGGGCGACGGGCTTGCGGCCGGTTGCGATCTGCTTGTTCATCCAAGCGATGTACGGGATCTTGTTGAGATCGGGCACACGTCAGTCGTACTAGCTATGCTCTTGCGCTTACGGGCCATGGCTACGGCGTGAGACAAAACGGTGGCTGGACTACGCAACAAGAAAGAGCAAGGTGGGGTTTGGAGAAGAAGAGATTGGTGAGGGAGTGCTGTCAGCCGGGTTGGAAAGGTGAGCACAGTCGGGCAAGGATGTGACCGTGAGGGCTGGAGCACCAGTCATTTGTCTGCCCGGGCAGAGCGGTTTCTTTTCCCGCTCGAAAACGGGCCCGATTCGGGCGTCCATATGCATGCGGTACAGCAAGAGATTTCGACACGCGTGCGATTTTCAGAAGGTGACGGGGCCTCATGTAACTCGTCCGCGACACCCGCGCAATTCACGCCAACCAATGTAATATACAGTGAAAATCGCATTAGTGCGATCTGCGTTTGTGACATAGTACAGTATATGCTGTTTTGGCGTGTCACAAAGTGATTGAGACACAAGTGTCCCCGCAGGAATGTACCCTAAGTTACTTAGATTCTGAGAGGGAGGACTAAGGTAGGACGGATGGTGGGTGAAGCTAGGGTCCTAGGAGCTAATGGGCAACGATACCATCTCATACCGTAATTGGAACAGCGGAATGGTGTGAACAAGGCAGCAGGGTGAGACAAATAGGCAAACCTAATGCGTTGTACCCTATACAATGTACCTCACTGTAGCCTAACACAAATATATACAATAGTTTAACATCATGGTTTCAGACGGAGCATCACAATTAATCATGAATAACTCTTGTGACGCGAGTTCTGAAGACACATCAACATAAGAATGCCCCCTTACGTCACAGATCCCCAGGTGCATGATTTAGGGGAATTCTGATTCTTCTGTATCATTAGACGATTGGGTTGGGTACCCTTTAATACACTTGTATAAGAACCAGGGCATGGCTCATTTGTCCATGCTGGTTACTGTACACCACACAACCCAGATTGATCTCATCAATTTGAGTCTTGCCTTGCACCCCTCCCTAATCATGTTCAATTTTCATCTGCTCAAAGCAGTCGAACAGAGGCTTGGGGATGGTGTGCGAAACGTTGTTGAACGGGATTTCTAGGTCCAGTGCATAAAGCTTCTTCACCCGCTCGTATGTTTCCTGCAGCGGGTGCACAAAACAAACAAGACTGCATATGGGCCAGCCAGTTGACTGATACCGTGTACACATTGCTGGTACTTGCACAGCATAGCAGGCACGAGATGGCAGCATACCACAAAAAGGGTGACTGGCCGAAACAAGGGAGGAACCAATGAAGCTGGTGGAAAGGAGCTTGCGCATACAAAGAGGAGGCAGGCAAGGCCAGTTAATCACTTTGTCATCCCAATTCGCGAGCTTCACATCAAACTTGACCTGATGATTCTTTGAGTCGACTCTAAGTTCACCTCGTATCTACCGAGGAAATGCAGAGGCTACAGGAAAGCAGCTAATGTACACAACGAAGAGGCAGGCAAGGCTGGAAACTTACTTTATCATACATCTTCACGAGCTTCTCGTCGGCGCGGGTCTGGTGTGCGTTGACGCCGAAGTTGAAGATGTCGAGATGGTCGCCTCCGAATCGGTTCACCACATACTTGGCATCCTCCTCCAGACTCTCAAACCGCCCCACAAAGTCGTACTTGATCAGCCCCAGCGCACACACGTCCCTCTGCACACATGCATGGGAGCATATGTGTGGGTAGATACATACATGCACACATGCACGCCATGTGAAATCCACACATGGAAAATGCACACATGAGAGCAGGCACGAGCCGGTGGATTTGCTTCTGCTGGAACCGCATGCCCCCTCGCACATGCCCCCTCGCACATGCCCCCTCGCACATGCCCCCTCGCACATGCCCCCTCGCACGTGCCCCCTCGCACATGCCCCTTGTTATACATCTTCACCTTGTCATACATCTTCACAAGCTTCACCAAGCCAGCCCACCCACAGGTGATGTGGCGGTCCATGTGCCACCCACCTGCAGGGTGATGTGGCGGTCCATGTGCCACCCACCTGCAGGGCGATGTGGCGGTCCATGTGCCACCCACCTGCAGGGCGATGTGGCGGTCCATGTGCCACCCACCTGCAGGGCGATGTGGCGGTCCATGTGCCACCCACCTGCAGGGCGATGTGGCGGTCCATGTGCCAGCGCCTCTCCTTGAAGACGAGGCCCACGAGCTTCACAAAGTCGTGGAATGACACCAAGTCGTCCTCCTTCTTCACTGCCTCCCACTGTGCCCGAATCAGCCTGAAAAACGCCTGCAAGTGGGGAGAGGAGCAGGGGGAGGAGGTTAGGGGACCGGAATAAGCATGGGGAAGCATGCTGCCTGCCTGCCCTCTCACTAGAAAGCCCATCTCACCACAACAGCTCACATTGTTCCGATCAGAAAAGGATAGCCTTGGCTCACGTTATTCCAGTACTCTCTCGAACCCCGGCCAGTCGTGTTATTAGGGGCGTCAGTGAGGACCAGCTTGCTGTTGTACGCTGAGAGGGCGCGTGAGGGCAAGCACAAGCGGCCAGCAACAGGCAGGGGGCAGCAGAGCTCAACCCACAGGCAAGTCTCACATGGTTCCAGTATTCACATGGTTCCAGTACTCACATGGTTCCAGTACTCACATGGTTCCAGTACTCACATGGTTCCAGTGCTCACATGGTTCCAGTGCTCACATGGTTCCAGTACTCACATGGTTCCAGTACTCACATGGTTCCAGTATTCACATGGTTCCAGTACTCACATGGTTCCAGTACTCACATGGTTCCAGTGCTCACATGGTTCCAGTACTCACATGGTTCCAGTGCTCACATGGTTCCAGTACTCACATGGTTCCAGTACTCACATGGTTCCAGTACTCACATGGTTCCAGTACTCACATGGTTCCAGAGCTCACATGGTTCCAGTGCTCACATGGTTCCAGTACTCACATGGTTCCAGTACTCACATGGTTCCAGTATTCACATGGTTCCAGTACTCACATGGTTCCAGTACTCACATGGTTCCAGTGCTCACATGGTTCCAGTACTCACATGGTTCCAGTGCTCACATGGTTCCAGTGCTCACATGGTTCCAGTACTCACATGGTTCCAGTACTCACATGGTTCCAGTATTCACATGGTTCCAGTACTCACATGGTTCCAGTACTCACATGGTTCCAGTACTCACATGGTTCCAGTGCTCACATGGTTCCAGTGCTCACATGGTTCCAGTACTCACATGGTTCCAGTACTCACATGGTTCCAGTATTCACATGGTTCCAGTACTCACATGGTTCCAGTACTCACATGGTTCCAGTGCTCACATGGTTCCAGTACTCACATGGTTCCAGTGCTCACATGGTTCCAGTACTCACATGGTTCCAGTACTCACATGGTTCCAGTACTCACATGGTTCCAGTACTCACATGGTTCCAGTGCTCACATGGTTCCAGTACTCACATGGTTCCAGTGCTCACATGGTTACAGTACTCACATGGTTCCAGTACTCACATGGTCCCAGTGCTCACATGGTTCCAGTACTCACATGGTTCCAGTACTCACATGGTTCCAGTACTCACATGGTTCCAGTACTCACATGGTTCCAGTGCTCACATGGTTCCAGTACTCACATGGTTCCAGTATTCACATGGTTCCAGTACTCACATGGTTCCAGTACTCACATGGTTCCAGTGCTCACATGGTTCCAGTACTCACATGGTTCCAGTGCTCACATGGTTCCAGTACTCACATGGTTCCAGTACTCACATGGTTCCAGTACTCACATGGTTCCAGTGCTCACATGGTTCCAGTACTCACATGGTTCCAGTACTCACATGGTTCCAGTACTCACATGGTTCCAGTACTCACATGGTTCCAGTGCTCACATGGTTCCAGTACTCACATGGTTCCAGTGCTCACATGGTTCCAGTACTCACATGGTTCCAGTACTCACATGGTTCCAGTACTCACATGGTTCCAGTACTCACATGGTTCCAGTGCTCACATGGTTCCAGTACTCACATGGTTCCAGTGCTCACATGGTTCCAGTACTCACATGGTTCCAGTACTCACATGGTTCCAGTACTCACATGGTTACAGTACTCACATGGTTCCAGTACTCACATGGTCCCAGTGCTCACATGGTTCCAGTACTCACATGGTTCCAGTACTCACATGGTTCCAGTACTCACATGGTTCCAGTACTCACATGGTTCCAGTGCTCACATGGTTCCAGTACTCACATGGTTCCAGTACTCACATGGTTCCAGTACTCACATGGTTCCAGTACTCACATGGTTCCAGTACTCACATGGTTCCAGTACTCACATGGTTCCAGTACTCTCTCGACCCCGGGCCGGTCTTGTTGTTGGGGGAGTCGGTGATGACGAGCTTGTTGTTGTACGCTGAGAGCACTCGCGAGAAGGGGTTGCGCACAAACGTGAAGCGGAACAGGTCCGGCCGCGTCATTGCCCGCACCTGGGGTTTGGGCAGGCAGGCGGGGGCGAGGGAGGAGAGGGGGGAGTTTGGGTGGAGAGGGAGGTGTTGGGAGGCGAGGGGAGTGAGAGAGAGAGAGGGGAGGAAGATATGCTTGGAAGTGGACTGTGGACACATGGGTTGTTTGCACACGTGGGCAGGAGAGGATTGCGGCTTCTGCGGCAGCAAAGGTGTAGAGATGGGTGGAGCGGCTGAGTGAAGGCGAGTGGTGCGCGGGGAGAGGCTGAGAAGGGGCAGGTGGAAGGAAGGGTGGCGACGAGGGAGAGCAGTGCAGAGAATTGCACTCTCTTTGCCACACGGTGGAGACACACGCGAATCGCAAGTGCTCGCCGCACATGGGAGAGTTCAGAGCGCACGTGGCAGCACACTCACGGCCTGCTTCTCAGTGAAGTGCACGTGCAGCATGTGCCAGCCCGCCCTGTCATCGTCCAGCGCCAGCAGCGGGTCCTCTGGGTGCGGCTGCCCCAGCATGGCGCGCAGCCACATGAGCCACGAGTTGGCCGCCACCTTGGGCACCGTGCAAATGAACAGCTTCAGCTTCTCTGGTGGGCGTGGGGGATGCGATGGGGAGAGATACAGAACGATTCAGTGCAGTCCATGGCGCCCACCTGCCAATCACCTGCCAATCACCTGCCAATCACCTGCCAGGGCCCTCACCTTCCACCATGGTGAACATGGACCACTTCTGCTTCGTGATTGGCCGGATCTCATGCCGCCCGCACACGGACACGTGCAGGCGAAAGGACGGCAACCGCCGGGCGGCCTGGGCGGCAATGAAGCGCGGCTCGAGCGCGCTGCTGTTGACCGCCACCAGCCCGGCTGCCAGGCTGAGAGAAAAGAGCTCCGAGACCTGGGGAACGAGAAGTGAGGGGAGAAGAGGAGGGGGAGTGGGGGAAGGTAGGGGGAGAAGTGGGGAAGGAGGCTCCAAGGCGCTGCTGTTCACCGCCACCAGCCCTGCTGCCAGGCTGAGAGAAAAGAGCTCCGAGACCTATGGGAGGCGGGGAAGGGAAAGGAAAGGGGAGCAGTGGAGGGGGGGGATGAGGGAATTGAGGGAAGGAGGGGGGAGGGCGCTGCTGTCGACCAGCGCCCCTGCTAGGTTCAATGAGAAGAGTTCCGGTAGCTGTGGAAGGAGAACATGGGCGAGAAGAGGGGGGGAGGGGGGAAGTCAGCTCTAAGGCGCTGCTGTTCAGCATCGTGCAAAACATGGCAAACCCACCCGCAGCTAAAGACACCGTATTGAACCCACCTGCAGCTGATGGCACCGCGTTGAACCCACCTGTAGATAAAGGCACTGCTTTGAACCCACCTGCAGCTGATGGCACCGCATTAGACTTTCATCCGACACCTCCAATCTCCGAACCACTCTTCTCACTCTCCTCCTCCCCAATCCTTCTCCTTCCCTCACCACCTCTCCCCCCACCACATCCTCCTCTCCACCCCCCACCCCCTTCTCCCCTCCCTCCCCCTCCTCCACCTCAACCTCCTCCTCCAGCTGACACGTGGCAATGCGCGATTGGGTGGCGTGGAGCAGCAGCGGGGAGCGGGCGGGAGGGAAGTAGTCCATGATTTGCGGCACGTGGGCGGGCGAGTGGGCGGCGAGGGTGAAGGAGACGGTGCGGTCAGCGAGGTAGGTCATGGCGATGCGGCGCATGGCGCACATGGGAGGTGAATACTCCGACTCCTCGCTGCACCCCGCACAGCCTGAGGGGCCGAGAGGCTGGGGAGTGGGGAGTGGGGGAAGGGGAGGTGGGAGTGGGGAGTGTGGAGGGGGGACGGGGGAGGTGGGAGGTGGGAATGGGGAGTGAGGAGGTGGGAGTGGGGGACGAAGAATTGGGGGAGTGGAAGTGGAACAGGGACAGAGGAGCAGGAGAAAAAGAATGGGAAAACAATGGCGGTCATTGGGGGAGTGGAAGCTTTATATGGGACAGGGTGGAAAATGGCTTCGGGGTGACAGGCAGGGAGAAGAGCTAAGGGCAGGACGGGTTGATTTGTTGCACATGTATCAGCAGGGTCGAGGAGGGTGGAGACGAGGATTCGAAACGGATAGCAGGAAGTGAATCGCACGGAACTTGATTGCGAGGGTGTGGAGGTGAGCCACGAGATAGGGCAGCCCGAGGCAATGAGGAAGTGCATGTGCATGCGGGGAAGCTGCCATGCTATGCCATGGTACCATCACACAGCGAATGCAAGCACGGGTGCATGGTGCATGGTGCATGGTACAGCGTGCAAGAGCATGACAGCATGTGGTGGCGCACATCAACGTAGAAGGCAGTGGAGGTGGCGAGGCGGTGCACGTCCTCCTTGAGCACCAGCGCCGCCACCAACGGGGACGGCTCCAGGGCGCCCAGACACTCCTCCACCCGCCGCTCATACTCGCATCCCTCCACCTCCACCCTCCCTTGCGCCACCCTCGCAGCTTCGCCCTGTCCCCCCAGGAACAGACCCGCTCCCTCTCCCTCGCCCTCCGCCGCCCCTGCTGCTGCTGCTGCTGCTCCATGTGCTGGCGGGGCGTGTGGGGTGTGAAGTTGAGCAGCAGCAGAGTGGGGCGCGAGGAAGAGGTGCGGAGGAGGAGGCAGGGAGCGGGCGGACGGCCTGCCCCTGCATGGCCGCAGCACCACCTGCCCTTGGCGATGGGGATGGGAATGGGGATGGCGATGGGGATGGGAATGGGGATGGCGATGGGGATGGGGATGGCGATGGGGATGGGGATGGGGATGGGGATGGGGATGGGGATGGGGATGGGGATGGGGATGGCGATGGGGATGGCGATGGGGATGGGGATGGCGATGGGGATGGGGATGGCGATGGGGATGGCGATGGGATGATCGCAATGGTGATGCATGAGCGCCCAAGCACAAGCTATGCAGAGGGGCACGGGGAGGGGCACGGGAGGAGGACGAGAGGAGGGATGTGGGAGGAGGACGAAGAAATGACACGAGCAAGGCATGACATCAGGAGTAGAGCATTTGAAATGGAACATAGGAACACGGGCACTGCCCTCTCACCCGCACCGCCCTCATGCCTCACCTGCTGCTGCGGCGTGGAGGCCAGTTGCGCCTTCAGCGCGTCGCTGCGCACAGGCAGGTCGCGCACCCACACCCCGCCCTCCCCCCCGCTCACTCCCCACCCCTCCGCCCCCTCCCCTCCGCTGCTGCGACTGCGGCTGCTGTTGGGCGCGGGGGGGGCGGAAAAGAGGTGGCGGAAGGTGGTGGCGGGCAGGTGGCGGTCGGCGGGCCAGAGGGCGAGCGTGGGCATGTTGGTGAGCGCCGTCAGCGCATACGCCGCGCACACCGCGTGCACACGCTCCGATAGAGAGCCCTGGGGGGACGGACGGACCGGGGGGAGGGGAAGGGATGGGAAAGCGAGGGTGGTGGGTAGGGGGGAAGAGGGAAGGGGGAGGGGGGAAGGGGTGTGGGTGGGGAAAGGGGGGCCGTGGGGATTTGAAGAGAAGAGAATGAGCGTGAGTGTGTAGTGGTGAAGGTCCGCATGGCCCTACAGTCTACACTGCATGCACGCGCTGCTGCAGCGCGCCTTGGGGAAGGGGGAGGGAGAGAGTGGGGGAGGGAGGAGGGGGAGCGCGGGGGGGAGGTGGGTTGGAAGAGGGTACAGGAAAAGGTAAGCGACTAAATTAGGGGCTAGAGCGTATGACACGCTGGGGCACTGGCACCGGCACGCGCGCTGCACGCACACGCGCTGGCAGCGAGCCCTGGGAAGAGAGGGCGAAGCGGGGAGGGAGCCGTGGGAGCGAAGGGGAAGCGGTGGGGGAAGGTTGAGAGAGAGGTGTCATGGGAGAGAAGGGGTCATGGGAGAGAAGGGGGAGAAAAGGAAGTCAATGATGGGGTGAAGGATGATGGGGGATGATGGGCGGGAGGCGGATCATGTTGGGGAACGGCATCAGCGCAGAGCGCATTGCAGCGTAGCGCGCATCACGGCGCAGTGCGTTCCTCAGCGCAGCGCGCACCTCTGCAAGAATCACCGCGGCGGCATGGGCGCATTCGTTCCCCCCACTGCCGTCCGCGCACCTCCACGGATCCACCTCGCCCGCCCTCCCACCATTCCCGATATACGCGTCTTCGCTACCATCTGCAAGATACCCGCTCAGTTCCCCCGTCTCGCCGCTCGCTTTCCACAGATTCGCGATTTTCTGCGACGCTTTGAGCAGCGCCTTGCCGTTGAGAACCGTGAAGTCGCTCTTGTCGCGCGACAGGCTCCAGTGCGACAGCCCGGCGACTGTTGCGACGACGAGGAGGAACGGCGGGAGCAGCCATTGAATGAGGCGAGGCCGCTCGCCGCTGCCGTGCGTCTTCCGCTTGCCGAGCACGATCGTGTGAGTCATTGCAAGGAAGACTGCGCGACGCGTATGCGACGTGTGTCCGACTCGTCAGCGACGCGAGTTATGCCTATGCAAGTACGAGATTCAGCTCCTGACGACAGTAGCAGGCGGATATGTCGTCGTGATGTCGGCAAACGAGGCGGCTAGTCCGCGATGAAAACGCTGATGGGGAGGGCTTATGCATTAATAGTGACTGTTGAATGCGCTGGATGCTACGCCTTAGGTACAGAGCTCTAATCGCCACCACCACCACTGAGGCACTCGCGAGCGGTGTTGGGATCCGGACTTAATTCGGATTCAACCGCTCCGCGGTCGGGAGCAAGGCACGCGGGCGGTCTGAAGTGTCTGAAAACGTTTACCCTAAACTGCTACCTGGTCTTGCGCATGCAACGGTCGTAATCGCTGAGCTCAACGGAGTGCGACGTCTTCGTCCCTGGCGCCGACTTGCTACACATCGTGCAGTAAAAAACACAAATACTATCCGAACAGATAAAGCCTACACCCATGCTTTTAACCTTTTTTGACAGCTAAGAGATCTTGACTTTTAAGTTCGCCAGCCCACAATCAATTTCCCCCGCTTCTGAAGGCGGCCATTTCGCTGTCTCTATTGTCTAGACCCTTGAAGCCTCTGACATCACTGCAGCAAACGCACGACTGACAATGACAATCTGACGCCTACCAACCAACCAACCAGACCTAATTAAAATAGGCTTGCCCCGCTTTGTTTGGTCTGGAGGCAGGCGAGGGAACGAGATGATTGGTGGTGGAAGCTTTGTAAGGGACGGGTGGTGAAAGGAGGAGCAGCCTTTGAAGGCGCTTCGCATCTCTCGATGCGGGGCGGCGGGTCAACTTGGTCTGGTCTGCGGGGAAGAGAATCTTGGCTTGGGGCGTGATTCGAGGAGGAGGGAGGGGGCGGCCCGATGGGTGGGGCTCGCAGGGGGGAGAAGATCATACAGGGGCCGAACAGTGCCAGAAGGGTGATCGATCAGGGGCCGAGAGGCCTGGAACTTACCAGACCGCTGCGCGGGGAGGAATTAACATAAGGGTCTTTGTGTTTTGCGCGTAATTCTGTTATAGTGGCATGTACCGGCTCGCATTTTCGCTCGCGTGACGTTTAGCGAGCTGACTCTACGGGGCAGCCAAAACAAACTAAAACTCATAGGGAACCTCGATGCAATTTCGGGATGGATCAATCCTAAACAAGGGGACCTTCCTGGTATTTAGGGTTGATGCCTCCCGAGTTGCATCCTTTTCTGAATGGGTAATATTTTTTACCTGTGCGTTTCCGATCGGGTAGGTGATATGTATCACTCAGAATATATTATTATGTTACGTACTCACGATTTGACACGCCGAAAATAATTCCAGAAGAAGGCGACGCGCGCGCTGTCGTAGAAGGTGGTCAAAACCCTCAATAATGAAATGAACACAAAAATCCGGTTGTTTTAGCAGCTGTCTTCTACTTATGGTTCGGCTTGTTTGCCGAGTCGTTTGGTCAGCTCCGGGTCGAAATCCTACGGCCGATATTTACCGGCCCTACTTCGATCACCTCTCTGGCACCTTTCGGCCCAAATATGATATTCTCCCCTCGCGGGGGCTGCTCTCGAGGATGTTGGCGCTTGGTGAAGCCTCGGTTGCTGTTTGACGTAGCAGGGAGGCTCGACAAGCGATGCCCCAAACCCAGACCACCTTGAACTTCACTGACATACTCCTGGTTGTCTCGCCCCGAACCGTCGGCGAGACACCAAGCCTGGCAGGCATGACACCGAAGCAAATCGTTCTGACAAAGTTGTAAATCCGCAAGTCAGAATGATTGGTGCCTTTCTTGTGAATGTGTGTAGTTGTAACGAATTTTCCAGCATTCCTTACCAACATCTTGTACAAGACCAACCTTTTCTTCTCCTGTACAGATAACAACTTATTGCACGTCACATTTCCTAAACCACGCACTGCTGGACTGGCCCGAATCTCCATACCCTTCGGAATATCTCAGCAGAAACGGGTCGTCAAGCCTGACGACCCTCTGACGACTTGACGACATGCTGCCCTGGGCAGAAAAAAACTAAAACCCTATCGGATGGCATGCCATCCTAGGGAGGCATCAACCCTAAATCCATGCCTCCCTGTGTTTAGGGTTGATGCCTCCCTGTACGGATGCATGCCCTTCTGGGGTTTATTTTTTTTGCCCGCGGGCAGCGAGCTCCCCTGGGCGGACTCGCTTGTCCGCTGAGATATATTCTTCGGGAAAAGCCCAACCTTGCTGCCAACATCGCAGTCCGCCGAATATATCTCAGGGCGTGTTCCTACGCTCTTATCAGGCAAACCTCTTGTCAGTATTGCCTGGTAAAAGTAGCGAGGGTTTTTGGGTTTAGGGAATTTTCAGGGGGAAAAGTAGCGAGCTTGAAAAGAGGTTGCCCTGATAAGGGGCCGTAGGAACACGCCCTCAGCGCGTTCAGGTCGTCACCCGGCGGAGCTCACTGCCCGCGGGCAAAAAAAAAAAAAAAAAAAACCCATTCGGGCAGGCATCCGGTCAGGAAGGCATCTGCTGCGATCAGAAGTTGATCGTGGCCTAGGATCTACTCAGGAAGGTTCGCACGCAGAGAAGTTATGTTGGTGGGCCCTTGACCTCAATAGCAGAGTGAATGTAAAATGCTTTGAGATGATTTAAAACATGCAAATACAGCAAATATAAATATGAGTACAGGGGAGATGAAACGACCTAGCTAGCCATGTACTCTAAGGGGTACATTCCCTTATTCAAATACATTCCCAACCGTGCGGCGCGAACAGTTACGAAACTGTTCCCGCCGAAACCATCCTGCCTGCAGCTGCCTGATGCTGTCTGCTCCGACGGTCCAGATGCGTCCCAACTGTCTGACGCTTCGAGTCGATTCCAACCGTCTGACGCTTCGCGTTCATTCGCGATACTGGGTGCTTCTCTTTGCTGCGGTGAGGAGTGCACAGTAATATTCAAGTATTACTATTCGTAACACCTCCCTTCACTCCTGGCTGTAGCTCGACTTGACCTGCTTGACCACGCCGCTGAGTTCGGAGCAGTGCTGATACTACTGGCGTGGCAGTCGCTTCGTGAGGAAGTTTGCTGCCATGTCACCGGTCGGGCAGTAGGTCAAGTTGACCTTGCCCTTGTCCACCTCATCCTTCACGAAGAAGTACCGCAGCGCAATGTGCTTGGTGCGGTTGACGAAACCAGGTTTGTTCGCGATGCGAATCGCGCTCTGGTTGTCGCAGTGAAGGCGAAATGTGGGCGAAGCTGGAATTTTCGCCTCTTGCAGGAGTTCCTGCAAGTAGAGGCCTTCGCGAACTGCTGCGGTTGCTGCGATGAATTCCGCTTCGGCTGACGACAGGGCAACCAGCTCCTACTTCTGCGAGTTCCACGAGATTGGTCCCGTTGGCTCGAGTCGGAACAGGAAGCCAGTCGTGGACCGTCGATTATCGGGGTCTGCTGCGTGATCGGCGTCCACATAGCCGATGAGGTTGAAGGATGGAGTTGGTGCAGTTGAGTAGCACAGCCCAATCTTAGGCATTGAAACGAAGAACTGAAGGGCGCGCTGCAGATCCAGAAGATTCTCAGCCGTTGGTTTGCGTGAGTACTGTGCCAGCTGACTGGCGATGTACGAGAGGTCTAGCGTGCAGGTGACAGAGGCGAAGAGGAGGCATCCCAAATGCTGCTAGTAAGTCTGAATCCTAGCAGGGGATAGGGGTTTGTTGTCGGGTTTGTGGTTCGGTCCGGGAGTTCGGTAGGGAGTTGAGAGAGGTGCAGGTGAAATGTTGAACCGCTTCCCTAACTCCTCTGCGTACTTAGCCGCTGAGAGATGAATGGCCTCAGGCGCGTAGGAGATGTTGAGGCCTAGAAACTGCTTCACCTCGTAGTTGCACGTGATGTCGACGCGCCCCGCCAAGGCCTTCTCGAACTGCTCGAGAAGCTCGTTGTTTGAGCCTGTGTAAAGCAGGTCGTCGACGTACACCGTGAGGAGAATGTATTCCCCGCGGAATTCGCGGCGATACATCCCTAGATCGTGCGGCATCTGCTTGAATCCGATTTCAAGCAGGATGTTGTGCAGGTACTGCTGCCACAGCCTCGGAGCCTATTTGATCCCGTAGAGTGACTTGCGTAGCTGGCACACGCGCGAGTCCCCTCCGTCGTAGGTGTGCGGCTGCTCCACGTAGATCACGGCGTCCACTAACGCGTACAGGAACGCGTTCTTCACGTCGATCTGGCGGAGTGGTAGGTGCCTTGCATCTGCAATGGCGAGCAGGATTCGAACGGAGGTATGGCGGCTAACTGGGGCGAACATATGGTCGAAGTCGATGCCATGCCTCTGATCGTAGCCGCGAACCACCCAACGCGCCTTGAAGCGCTCGATCGTTCCGTCCGCTGCAGTTTTCACGCGGAAGACCCACTTCCCTGAGAGGATTCTTGCGCCTTTGATCGCCGCGCGGTCGACTAGCACCCAGGTGTCTCGTGACTCCAGCGCCTTGATCTCTGCGTCCATTGCTTTGCGCCATTCCTTGCTGTGTGGTCCAGAAAGAGCTTCGCGCGGATTTCGGGGCTCGATGACACGTGGCGCCTTTGAAGTTGCGGTGTGAAGCCCGAGCAGCTGCAGTCCTGAGATAGTGCTGTCGTGGCGACGTTGCGGGATGACTTCCTGTACGTCGTCGTCATCGCTTTCTGGTTCAGGAGGCGCTGGTGGTGCTGTGCCTCTGCCGCTTCCGCCTGTTCCGGTTCCGCCTGCTGCGCTTATTCCTCCTCCCGAGGAATCGTCGTCGTCGTCGCTGCTGCGTCGTTCTTCCCACACGAACTCGCCCCTCGTGTCCTGCTCCAAGATTGCTGCAGCGGCTTGGTCTTCGGGCGTTGCGTAGCTGTGCCCATCGTTCGCGTAGACGCGGTTCGCGTTCGTTTCTTCGTCGCGGCGGAACTGGTCGAGGAAGAGGCGCTCGTAGAAGATGTCGTCGTAAGCGTGAGCGATTTTCTGACTAAGGAG